TTTTAAAGCCAGGAATTGACTTCTCCGCTCTAGCTATGAAAGTCCTAGATGGCATAGTCTTTCAGTAGAAGGCTGTTTGGTCAACAACAAAATCCGTTGTTTGGTGTAACCACCTTCATCAATGATCTTAGCTAGATCTTCTGGGTAACTTGCTGCAGCTTCTCCATCAGCACTTGCTGCTTCAACTCGCATTTTCATGTGATGGAGTTGGCTTCTTTCCTTTAACGTCATGAATCAACCTCTACCAGCTTTCAACTTTTCTTCTGAAGCTTCCTCACCTCTCTCAGCCTTCATAGAATTTAAGAGAGGACCCTGCTGCCCTGCTGTGTGGATTAGGCTTTGGCTTAAGGGAGTGCTGTGGCTGGTTTGATCTACCCGGATCACTAAAACTTTCTCCATATCAGCAATAAGGTTGTTTTGCTTTCTTATCATTGAGTAGCACTTTTAATTTCCTTCAAGAACTTGTCCTTTGCATTCACAACTTGGCTAACTGGCACAAGAGAACTAACTTTTGGCCTATTTTGGCTTTAAGCCTATCCCAGCTTTCAACATGCCTTCTTCACTCAACTTAATCATGTCTAGCTTTTGACTTAAGGTGACAGACTTGTTTTTTGTTTGTTTATTTTTGAGACAAGGTCTTGCTCTGTCCCCTGGGGTAGAGTGCAATGGCATGAGCAAACTCCTGGGCTCCAGCAATCCGACTGCCTCCGTCTCCCCAGTAGCTGAGACTACAGGCAGGTGCTACCATGCCCAGATAATTTTTCTATTTTTGTAGAGATGGAGTCTCATTCTTGCTCCGGCTGGTTTCAATCTCCTGGCCTCAAGCAATGCTTCCACCTCGGCCTCGCAAAGGTCTAAGATTACAGGTATGAACCACCATGCCAGGCCTAAGGTAAAAGCCTTGTGACTCTTCATTTCATTGAGCACTTAAGGCCATTGTAGGGTTATTAATTGGCCTAATTTCAGTATTGCGTCTCAGGCAATAGAGAGGCCCTGAGGGGAGGGAGAGAGAAGGGGGAATGGCTGGTTGGTAGAGCAGTCAGAACATACACAACATTTATGGATTAAATTTGCCATTGTATATGGGTTCATGGTGCCACAAAACAATTTAGTAACATCAAAGATCACTGATCACAGATCACCATAATAGATATAATAATAATTAAAAGAAAAGTTTGAAATATGGTGAGAATTACCAAAATGTGACAGAGAGACAGGAGGTGAGCACATGTTGGAAAAATGTTGCCACAAACCTTCAATTAGTAACAAATGCAGTATCTTCAAAGTGCACACAATAAAGTAAAGCAAAATAAAATGAAGTATGCTGGTATCTAGGAGTGGGGTTTTTGACTTATGTGGTTAGGGGTATATTGAACTTTATAAAACTGCAAAACTATTTTGGGTGTGGCCATATGACTTTTCGTCCCTACCGGCAATATCTGAGAGTTTCAGTTGTTTTGCCTCTTCGTCAGCATTTGGTATTGTCAGGGTTTTTTTTTTTTTGCCATTCTAATAAGTGTATAGTAGCTCTTATTGTGGTTTTAATTAGCATTTCTCTAATAACTAATAATACTGAGCATCATTTCATGTACCATTTGTCATCTGTATATCTTCTTTGGTAAAGTGTTCAAATCTTTTGCCCATTTAAAAAATTTGGTTGTTTATTTTCTTATTGTTGAGTTTTGAGAGTTCTATGTATATATTAGCTGCAAGTCCTGTGTTAGATACATGATTTGTTAATATTTTCTCCCAGTCCATGCTTGTCTTTTCATTCTTGCAACAGTGTTATTTGCAGAGAAAATGTTTTAATTTTTAGAAAGTCTATTTTTTCTTATGGATTGTGCTTTCAGCTTTGTATCCTAAAATTTTCAGCCTTGGGTTTTTATATGCTAAAAGTAAAATTTGCAAAACAAAAAGAATAAATTCCTCCAAGCAACAATAATCTACAAATAATACATTAGCTATATATTCTAAATATGAACCTAAATGGGAAGATATTAAATATTAGATAATTTATGCAGAAAGAACCAAGTTAGGATTAAGAAAGATAAGACAAGGATCTAATGATAATTTTTTAAAACAAAAAACGAAAGTCTTTTAGATTTTATATAATAGTAGCATGTAAACATGTAAAATAAAATATCTCCTGGGGTTTCAAATACTCATTCATTTATTCCTTCATTTCTTTATTTTAAAAATTTACTGAACACCTACTATGAGCCAGACACTGTGTATGGGGGTACACAGATGGCTATGATAAGATACAGAACTTATGATAAATAAATCAACAGATTATAATACCATGTGGTAAGAAATGTGATTGACATACATTCTCAGTGAACCATGCTACTGTTTGTGCACGTAGAGGTTTCATCACATTTATCTCAGTTTGAAATTATTTGTGTGACTGCTTGATTTAAAGCCTCCCTCTCACGGTGGGCTCCAGGAGTATAAATGCAATGTATGTTTTCATCATTGTGCTTGGCATATAGCACAATGAGCTAGATTAACAGTCCCTGAACAAAAGTACTTGCTATCGAAGTACAGAAAGGAAAAATTGCTAATTCTGCCCCTGGCAGTTTTGAAGATTTCATTAAAAAGGTGACAGTTGAAGTGAGTCTGGAAGCAGAGGTAGACACGTGCGGTTGGGGGCAAGAGAGGGCTGGGCAGGTGGAGAAGTGCAGCATTCCAGCACTGTGAAGTCAGACATGGGCACGTGAAGCCCCATGGAAAGAAAGTTGCACGTGGGGCTGGATCATCCTGCCTAAGGACGCGTGACGGAAGACAAGGCCAACGTGGAAAGCTGGGGGCGGACTGGCAAGGAAAGGACTTGCCAACCAGGCTTGGTTTGAACTTCATAGCAGTGGGGGCGGCAGGCAAGTGACGTCATACTTAACCTTGTAAGTGACGTCATCACGGTCATGATTCTCAAATGGAGATGGCAGTGTGGCGGCTGACTGGAGACCATAGCGGTGCATGGCGCTCAGAAGGCAGGATGAGAGCTGGGTAGTGCCAGTGGAGACTGTGGGGAGGGACAGATCTGAAAGCTATTCTATCAGACAGCATTATGAGACTCTGTGATGGATCAGAGGGAAAGGGTAAAGTAGAAGGAGAATTTAACATTTTAGCTCTTCTGGGGGTTATTGCATGTTAGTATGAACATAATTTTTTTAAGTTTTTTTTTCCTGTTTAATATTACACATTCTTTAGAAAAATCCAGTGAAGTACAAAGAACAAAAAAAATCATCCATTATCCCAGCATATAGACATAACCACTGCAGACATTTCATGAACATATCCTTCTATCCTTCTTTTAAGATAGACTTTTAAAAGGAGATCCTAAAGGATTCTCTAAACCAGGGACTCTCATAAACTGCATTCATAGGTTGGGCTTCATTTTGAACCCAAATATTAGGTCTTGACTAAAGGATGCGCTGATTTTTTTTTTTTTTTTAAATCAAGTGAATAGGCACATGGAAGGGAACTGCTGAAGAAGGAGTATCTCCCCTGGAAACTAAATGAGTGTGTCAACGAAGACACCCAGGACATGCCCTCATTAGTGCATGCTAACCAGCACAGGTAACCTGCCCCAGACCCAAGGGACACTTGCAGGTTCCGTTTGACTAATTCATATCCAATCCATTCAGCGTGCTGAGCCAACAGGAAGACTGCACAGCGGCGATTTCCACCTTGAGGGGCGCTGATTATTTTTTGCCCCCTCCTACCCTGAGCTTGAGTAAGCCTGTGCACATGAACAAAGAGAAAACCTTCCTGAGGTCCAGGAGCTGCTGGTCAAAATACATTATCCTAGGCCCTTCCAAATAGAGGGACTGGGGAGGGAAGCTCTAATAAAAATAAAAAAAGAATAAAGATGTTTTTACTTTGAGAGGGATAGACTATGGGGAAGAGCAGAGACAGGGAGATGCAAAGGAGGCCTGAAAACAAGCTGCAGGAACAGAAAGTCCAAGGAGAAGGGGGCGTGGCCTCAGCGGCGACACCAGTAGCCCCGGGCTGGCGGCTCCCGCGGAGGCAGCCCAGCGGGCCGGGCGCAGGGCGGGGGAGTGGCGACGGGTCTCCAGCTGCGCTCGTGCCGCGGGGGCCTCCCTCTGACCTGCCCCGGGCCTGTCCTGCTCACCCCGGCTCCTCGCCGGCCCCGGGCGCTGCTCAGAGGGGAGCAGAGTAGGGTCGTGCTCCACTTGCACTCCGGGGCGCTGGACTGACCGCGCAGAGGAGTCAAACACGGTTTACAACAAAGAGCAGAAAAACCGATACCTCCTGAGCGGGCCGCGGGGCTTTACTTGGGGAAGGGGTTTGGTAGAGTGCGGGAGATTTATGCCTTGGGCTCTTCGCACCATAAACAGTAATTCCCACTTCCTAAGACCTGCCTCTCTCGCTCTTCCCCCCACGCGCCCCCCGACCCGCTCCATCCTCCGCCCGGCAGTCGGGGTCTTCCATTGCAAACGTCAAGCGGTCTCTGCATGCCCCGAGTTCGGAGCTCGCTTGCTCCCGGGCGCCAGCTCCCAGGCCGGCGGGGAGTGAGGTTTGGCCGGCTCGGCTTCCCGCTGCAGCTGCTGGCCGCGGTGAGGCCGGCGGCGAGGCAGGGGCGCCGGGGGTCGCGCACAGGAAGGAATGGGGCCAACCTGAGCAAACACTGCTCGCTTTGAACGCCCACTGGGAACGGGCTTCGCCCGCAGGTCCCAAAGCCGCCTCCCGTGCCGCTCGCCCCGCGGGCGGGAGCGCGGGGCGGCCGGCTCCCGCGGGCCGGAGTTTGCAGACTTGGCGCTCCGACCGATTCTCCCGGAGTTGGGGCGCGCGCGCCGGGCCAATGAGCGCGCCCCGAGGAGGGCCCGGCTCCCCCCGCGCGCGGTGATTGGTGCCGCGGCCCTCGAGGCCGGGCTGGCCGGCGGCGGCTGCGGGCGGCGGCGAGTGCCCGGCGCGAGTGGGAGTGGCGCGCGCGCCCCCCGCCGCCCCCCGCCCCTCCCGCCGCGCTCCCTCCCTCGCTTCCTCCTCCTCCTCCGCCCCGCTCCCTCCCTGCGCTCCCGGGCTCCGGCCGCGCGCTGGCGGGGCTCCGCATTGCACACTCTGGGGGCGCCGCAGTGTTCGTGGGATGGGGCAGCGGGCTGCCGCTGGCGGCCGGAATCCGCGCGCAGCCCGGGTGAGTAGAGGCGAGCTTCCCGGGAGAGCACAAAAGAGGCTGGGGTTGGTGCCAGCGGCCCCGGCCACTGCGGGGCCTGGGCCAAGCCAGGGAGTGGGCTGGGGCGCTGGAACTGCCCCGTGCTAGGACTGTCCCCGGGGGCCAGCAGAGGCGGGTCCCGGCCTCTGCACCCTGCGCTGGTGTTTTGCCCCGGAGTGGGCAGAGAGCACTGCGCGCAGCCTGGGCAGGTCCAGAGGGGCGTGTGTGTGCGCGTGTGTGCGGTGCTGGAGCGCGGAGGGTGGGATGGAAATGTCAGGAGCTGCCAAGTTCAAGGCTGGAGGATTCTTCCCCGGGAGTAATTCAGCACCTTTTCAGGGCCAAGCGTGCGTCCACTAGGAACTCCAGCCGGAGGGAGTTCCCAGGTGGCGGAGTGGCGGCACCCCACATGTTGCTACGGGGCGGGGGGCGGGGGCGGTGGCCGGGCTGCGCCCACCCCGAGCCGCTGCGGGGGTTGCTGTGTGCTGGGGCACCTCCCCGCCTCGGCGAGACCTCGCTAGGCCCTTCGACCACCCACCCGACGACCCCCGGAGCGGAGCCGGGACTTCGCCTTGGCTTGACTTGGCGACCGGTTTTTCTCTTTGGTGACAGCAGTTCGGTTGATTCCCATCTGGCTAAACAGTCAATTTCAACCTAAAGCTCTCCGTCTGACTCGCTCTGACCCCCACCACAGCCTCACCACCTCTGCCTTCCTCCCTCCGGTCCCCCCCAGTATCGACCCTACTCCTCACGGCTCAGAACTTAATGTTTGAACATGGTTGCATCCGGCGTGGTCCCTGGTATCTTTAGTGTCACAATCACATGCCGTTTCCTAGAGGACTCTGGAGAAGACTTGTTATAATGGGGCGGGGGCGGGGGCGGGGTTGGGGAAGGTGGAAGAGGGTCTTTGGTAGCGACTTGTTGGTGGAACACCATGGACCTCCCAGAGCATATGAAGAATGTTAAGCTTCTTTCTCTGGTAACCTACCCAAGGTGTCACCTCCAAAATTCAATTTTCTTTGTGGGAGGCAAGGGAGTTTAGATTCTCCAGGGGGAAGCTTATTTCTTGTTAAATTGACTTGCAGTGACATACACTCTGTTCTTCTCAGCTCTGGCCAGCCATTGCAGATGCCTTGGTATTATTAGAGCGATTCCCTCAAAGCCATTACATTTTCTTTCGAGTGAGAGGAAGTCGAGCTAGCTGTTTAAAATTTTGGACCTGCACCTTATTTCTCTAGAAGACTTTAATGGTTACTGTATATGTGCTCACGTGTACCAAGTTTGCAAAAGATATTTGTGCAACGGTCCATGAAATGGCTTAATGCACATTTATGTTAAACGCATTGAAATGTAAAACATCTATCTGTTTTCAATTTTAGTTTCCACCTCGACCAACAGCACCAGGTTGAAACAGGACTTAAGAGAGGCTTCATTGTTTAAACAGAGGTTTACAGAACTCTAGTACTGAGGGCACACAGTAAGCTTTCTGAGCTTGTAGGCACACGAAGCTCGTTAAAAATTGTGAACTGGTTCCTTGCATTAAAAATATCAGAAATGCTTTCCGACTAAAAAAGGTAGACACAATTCATAGGGCTACATTTTGAAGCTGTTGTCAGTCTCCGTGTTTTTATTTATTTATTTATTTTTATTTTAGCGTATTATGGGGGTACAAGTGTTAAGGTTACATATATTGCCCATGCCCTCCCTCCCCCCTCGAGTAAGAGCTTCAAGCGTGTCCATCCCCCAGACGTTGCACATCTCACTCGTGGTTGTATATACCCATCCCCTCCTCCCCCCTCCCACCCTCTCAGCACCGATAAATGTTACTCCTATATGTCCACTGAGGTGTTGATCCGTTAAAACCAATTTGCTGGTGAGTACAGGTGGTGCTTGTTTTTCCATTCTTGAGATACTTCACTTAGTAGAATGGGTTCCAGCTCTATCCAGGAATATACAAGAGGTGCTATGTCACCGTTGTTTTTTAAAGCTGAGTAGTACTCCATGGTATACATATACCACATTTTATTAATCCACTCATGAATTGATGGGCACTTGGGTTGTTTCCACAGCTTTGCAATTGTGAATTGTGCTACTATAAACATTCAAGTGTAGGTGTCTTTTTCATAAAGTGACTTTTGATCTTTTGGGTTTAGCACTAATGCATAAATAGGGCTGATTTTCAGCAAATAATGCCAAGTTAAAAAAAAGTCATACCATGTATTGTATCATACTGTACAGTTTATATGGCACATTGAAATCTGTTAAAGTGTCTGTGCGGAAGTAATTTTTATCATCCCCATTTCACAGATGGAATAACTGAGGCTTTTCGAGATCTGCTTTTTCAAGGTGAACAGCAGAGTTCAAACTCCAGTGTTTTTCAAATTCTTCCCTTCCTCCCTTCTACCCACCCTTCCTTTCCTCCCTCCCTTCTTCTTTCCTCCCTCCCTTCCTTCTTGCTGGGCTAAATCTTTGGTGTGTACCTACTTCTAATTTCTGCCCTTCTTTTTATTGTTCAACCCATAGCTTGAGGGACCATTATGAATCATTCCCCAAAGACTTTGCTCTCCACTAAATATCACTTAGGTCCCACTTGGGTGTGGGCTGATAAAGATTTAAGGAGAAAGCTAATAATGGTTTTAAGGAACTACCCTTTTTAAAGGTATAAATTATTTTTGCTAATGAGTTGTTAAAGATACAAGTAATCAAAACCCCAAAGAATGATGTCCTAATGGAGTGTTTCAGAAAAACAAAGTGACTAGTAGTGGGAGAGATGTTTGAGAAATATGTATCTCATTTTATAAGCAGAAACTCCTCATCAGCTCTACAGACAATTAACAATGAAGACATAATGATTATTTCATTAGTGCTATTCGTATTTTTAAAAGAATTGACAAAACAGATGACTTAAATATACCCAGAACCACTCTGGAAAAAAAAAAAAAGCACCCACTTATCAAAAGTCCTGAAATCCTCATTAACTAGTGTATAAATGCAGCAGAAGACATTGTTAAAGAGAAATCATATTTTTACTTGCAAAGCTAGCAGTAAGAAGCTTATAGATATCTGCCTATCTGACGATTACTTTTAAGAGGCTCATCTTTTGCAAATCTTTTCTTGGAAGATTATTGCTTAGAGTATTTTCTTGTGACATTGCCTAATTTTTATTAAGATGAATGGGATTAATTTTGTTTGCATTAATGTGGGTAGGTGTTGCGTTTACTTGTAATAAGACCTAGTTAAGTACATGGGTTTGGGGTTCAAATCCTATCTAAACTGTGAGATTTCAGAAAATGATTGAACCTCTCTGTGCTTCAGTTTCCTTTTGTGTGAGGTATAAAGAGTGTACCTGCCATATGCAGTTCTTCAGTTTATTCATGCAGCAAATATTTAGTATGCCTAGTATGTATCAGGTGTGCTATAGATGCTAGGGATACATGGGCAAACTCCTTGCCAGTGAAATTTACTGTCTATCACCTGACACCTAGTGACATGATGAATGTAAAGTGCTTGGCATGGGACATGGCACTTAGTAAATGCACCATTATTGTCAGCTGTTGGTATCATACATTGTTTCAGGAAATATTCACCGAGTGCCTGCCAGATGTAATACGGATTGTTACATATAATGATGAATTAAATATATTTTAATTCAATTAAATATTCTAATGGGAGAGAGGACTCCAAAGAAAGACATCAAGTGCATAATCAATCTCTAAATGGAAATTCAAAACTGATTATATTAGGGGGAAAAATGAAAAGCAATACTTAAAAAATATCACATTACTTGTAAGAAAGTGGAGAGTATATGAATTACCTTATGGAAATTACCCAAATGTGATAAGAAAAATAAAGGTCTTGTACCCAAGCTCTTTAAAACACTAAATACATAGGGGGAAAGTAAAGGAAAGAAAAAGAATGCTTATTTAGAAACATGCAATGAAAAAAGAAAAATTGAAGGGTCATGTTATTAAATTGAGCCCATGAAGGGTGACAGATCGCAGGCATACTAGAAATGAGGTAGCCAAAAATTAATTTGAAAAAAAATCCTTACAATTGGATTTTGGATTTCCAAAACAGTAATGAAAGGCCCTTAAATACTGTGAAATGAGGATTGTGGAAGCATTTGGCTTTCATCATACCAAATATATACTGGGAGATGAAAAGAGATAAAACAGAGTGTAAATGAATTCTTTGCTTCTGTTTTTGCTGAGTAATATTCCCATACCCACACTTTCTCAAGCAATACACACATTGGAGGTAATAAATCAAGAAGTGCCAAGTGCTCAAGATATTCGAGACCTAATCAGCAGACTAGATACAGATAAATCACCAAGACTAGATGGCTTTCACCCAAGTGTGCTGAAGAAACTTGGTGTGTAAGTGACAGCTCTCTGTGGCATTGGTGGGCATTGGCTGGTGTCCTTGGGAACTCCAGTCAGGGGAAATGGTTCAGGAAGGACCCTGGGGCCATCAAACCAGATCCATGTCCCTGTGGATGCCTGGGAGATCAGTATTGAAAGCAAACACAGATTACAGAAAATAATGACTTCTTTTGAAGAAAGACAGATTAATGTATTAGAGTTAAAGGAGGAAAATATAGTCATGCACCACATAATGATGTTTGGATCAAGGATGAGCAGCATATATAATCCCATAAGATTATAATGGAGTTGAAAAATTTGTATCACCTAATGACATTGTAGCTGTCATAATGTCATAGTGCAACGCATTACGTGTTTGTGGTGACGCTGGTGTTAGCAAGCCTGCTGTACTGCCAGACCTATAAAAATAGAGCACATACAACTATGTACATACAGTATGTAATACTTGATAATGATAATAAACTGTTATGTTACTGGTTTATATATTTCCTATACTATGCTTTTAATCATTATTTTAGAGTGTATTCCTTCTAATTATTTATTTTAAAAAGTTAACTGTAAAGCAGCCTGAGGCAGGTCCTTCAGAAGGTGCTCCAGAAGAAG